GAGAGAGAGAGAGAGTGTACAATTTTCACATTACCGCGCATAAATTTCTACCTTGGGTATATTTTGTGCCGAAAATTCAGTTCTCTGTGCCGTCTCTGACATTCGCGTATAATGAATATACGCCAACGAATACACGACGACTATCCCCGATAATGCGTACGGTGATTACTTTAGTCGAGGGAAGAGTCTCGACAAACGTAAAACGGCAAACTTCGCAGACGCATTTCATAATCAATGTTTTCTTGTTTCACGCTAATCTTGTCAACGAATGAGAATCGAATTTATCTCGAATTAACTTCTTGGCTTGTCGCGAATGAAAAATCGAGCAAGTTTTACGTAAAATTCACATAATTAATGCCTCTCGGTTAGTCTCGCGATTCTCAAAACTGTCGAATATCGCGAAAGTTTTACGTTTGTCATACATATTTCAGTACAGTAATTAAGTGCTCATTAATCATTCGATGCCTTGACCGACGCAATGTGGATCTGATAGTTTTTTTTCTTAATATTCCAACGTCAATATATTTTTTTTTAGCGTTTCAGAAACGCGATATCGCGCATTATCAAGCACTTGCAGATCGATTGGTTGAAGCCCAGCAATAAAATAAAACATATACGCGGTATTTCACATTCCCGATTTAGCGAAATTAATTAACGATTATTCAAAATGACAATGCGAGAAAAATTTATAGCTATTACGGGATATTTGAAAAATTCATTTGAAACACACAGTCAATACTCGTCAAGATTTCTGGTGCATTTATATTTATAATAAATACGCGCAAAACTTTTAATATTACTAATTGTTTCACTTTAATAATTATTCAGTAAATCGATATGTTACCACTGAATTAACATATTTTGCGAGTATCTAGAGAATATTTGAGATTTTCTTACAAAACCTCTCGTCGTGAAAGAATATATACCTGTTGACACATTGATTGATGGATATCCATCTTGGTAACCGTCTTGCTACAGTTCATTTCGTCACGTAAACCGTATTCTTAATTCACGCTAATCACGTTAAACAAGTTTTACTTCTGACATGACTTACCGTATTTAAAAGTTGAAAAAATAAACGAAAGCTTTAATAAAATTTTGCTGTTATTCTTCTATTTTTTAAAAAGTTACAGATTAAATGAACAAACATATACAACAATATTGTTGCACGTAACAAAAACTGTGTTTGCTCTTTCTCTCATCCTATATTTTTATTTATCGAGATTAGAAATGAAATTCAATTCAGGGGAATTTTTCAAACTTACGCAGCCCTTTAGTTAACAAATCGTGTAATCGACGAGCGAATAATGTATGATTTATATATCTAAGTAATATCTTTGCAATGTTCTTACAATTCGACTTGCGTTTCGGCCATTCTACATATTCCGCCCGATAATTCTCTCGCCTTGAGCAAAAACCTACCTCTCCGACGGTGCGCAAGAAATTCGCATTTGCGTCGTCCACACTGCGGCGGACTGTCGAAATTGAATATTATACCCACAATAAAAATTGGTTCCCTCCGCCATAAACTATATGCTGCGCGAGTGACAAGGAAATAACAAAAAGCGGCGTTCATACATACGTACCGTATACTTTCATTCACCCAAGTTAATAACAGCGAAAATTGCGATGGTCGCGGGGCCAATGTACAGAAAAGTACGACGAGTACAACGCTCGAATCCACGCCGACAAAAAAGCCCACAAAAAAGGTATATAATATTATACATATTCCGCAATGTTTTTGATATTAAAACGTTAAAATATTAAAACGTTAATAATATCCAAAACACGTTTTTAACATTATTAACAAGCCATACAAAATTCGACAGAATTTTCTGCATTTTCAACGTATTTCTTGTTTTCTCCGAATTATTTCGGAAAATTGTCAAAAATGGAAAAATATTTTATGCAACATTCCCTCGTGTATGTATATGTTTTATGTATAACGCCCGAAATAAATTGCTGTTAATTAATGCCGTATTTTCTAACGTCACGTAGAAAGAAACTGACGCGGATCCTACGTGCGGCGGGAGTGAGGAAAAAGTACACGTGGACATAAATCGCCGCGTGATTTTCGCGCGTCCCGCTCGCGCGTTTTTCGGAGCGGCTGTATTAGCGGCTGAGTTAAATTCAATTTGTCCAGGGCCGAAGGAGAGAGAGGCAGAGAGAAAAAAAAGAAAGTAGGAAAAAAGAAGCAAAGGTCCACGGACTCGGGACCACGGAGTTGGCCTGTCTGTCCGTCCTTTCGGATGTGCGTAATAACTGACGGCGCGAAGCCGGCGCTTCTACCGGCTCGGCTCGGCTCGGCTCGACGTCGCCGTCGAAAAAATGCCAGGCATCGAGTCTCCGCGAATTCCAGTCCGATTCCGGCATACCGGCGCGACGAGAAAGAATCCGTTGTAATTCCACGGTGTTACCAGGTAGCGGGTCGCGACGCGGCGTTACCCCGGAGGACGCGGTGGCGGCGGTGGCGGCGGCGGCGGCGGCGGCGGCGTCTCGACGTCGACGCCGTATTTTAAACCCGCCGCCGACGCTCGCGACGAATAAATTTCTTTCCATCGATTTGGCCGTGCCGACCGTTCTCGAGACTGCCCGTGTCCGATGTGTCTTTGCCCCCCCCCCTCTCTGTCCTCGGTCTCCTCCCAAAATTCTCG